ACCAAAAAAAATAATAAATAAATAAATAAATAAAATAAAGTTTTCCAGAAACAATGACCAGTTCATGGTGAAAGAACAGAACACCATCCACATCAACCCTATTCTCTAGCAAAATTATGACAGCTCAAATAGTTTATACAACAGAACTTGCCTTAATAACTAGCAGTGTGCCCATCCCACCATACCTTTTATGGGCATCTGCAAACAACAAAAACAAGGAGAATGTATAGAATTTCTGAAAATGAAATTGGAAAATAAAGAAAACCATAGAAGGGATGCTTTCGTCTTTTTCTCCCTGGAGTTATAAAATAATAGCAAAAGATTCATGAAGTAGATGATCACTGAATTTGATGCTCACCCAGCATGTTTGGCAGTGGAAAATTGCAGCAGACATCACAATTCAGCAGAAAAATATGCGACTATGATGAACCAGAAACAGAAATTTATTTAGGAAGAGAGAATAAAGAAAGGATGGTGCAATGTATGCACAATAATACTATAATTATTGTAAAAATTTATCCGTCTAGAAACAAGAAAGAAAGCCCATGTCATCATTTTTCAAAATAGAAAAAGCTCGATTCAGAGATCAATCCTAAGTAGTAGTGAATTGCTTAATTTACCAACAAAATTCTGTGTACTTCAGCATGTGCCTCAGTTTGGGAACTAAGCTACTGAGTGGTTATATGGAAGAGATAAAATGCTCCTAATGAAAGGAGGGGTGGGGGATTGCATATAGAACAGGTAATTAAAGAAACTTGTGTGAAACCAGAGATGCATACAGGGGAATCTTCCATGATTTGATCTCGGAAGTAATAAAGGCTGCCTGCAGAACCATGTGGTTTATCTTCCTTCAAATATCTAAAATACAGTGTCAACGATCAACAATCAGAACCAACATTGAAATTACAAAACTTTACAAGAACAAGTCATGGGAAAAAAAAAACACTCAATCAAGTGGAGACCAGGGTGTGGGTTCACCTGACTGGTACTTTAAGCTCATTAGAGATTGAAGAGACATATAATGCAAATTCCTTCCCCTCGTAGAATCCAATTAGAAAAATTTGCGCCAGGTTAGGTATCTAAAGGAGAGCAACAATTAATTATTAGACAACTTAAGAAACGCAAAACTTCTACATTTATTTTTATTTTTTTCCTCACATTTCAATCTCCAATTAACTACCCCTGTTTTCATCTGAATCTTCTGTTTGGTAAAATTATAAGCCCCGTTTGACAACCATTATTTCAAAACTCTTTAATTCTCATATACATTTTCGACCACACATTTACACGCAATAAAAAATATTGCACGTAAAACCAAAAATTTTCCATACTTTCAAACCCACATTCTCCTTAAAATCAATATTCAAAACTCCAATTTCTCAAAATAACCACCTTTCATAGTGATACCAAACAGTGTAAATTTTTCAAATTTTCTTACCAATCAAACCTGAAAAAAAAAAAAAAAAAAGAAACAGCAACAGCAACAACAACAGTGAAGGTAAAGCACACCTTTTTGCAAGCGGAAATGGGGTGATGAACCATGGGCTGACCAGCCAGAGGAAGTAGAGGTTTCGGTGTATTGAAGGAAAGCGGCCTGAATCTAGTACCTGAAAAATTTTCAGGGGAAAAAAAACCCATTAATCAAACAGAAACACAAAAAATCAAATAATAAGTGAGAAATTAAAAAAAAAAATAGAAAAAACTCGAACCTTCTGCAGGACCACCCACTATAATTACAGCAACCACGTTCTCCTCCAAGCTCTCCATTATAGTTTTTCACTCAAAGCTAAAACCCTAATTATCAATAAACCCTCAATTAAGATGTGAAAATTCTGTATCAGAGGTTGCGCAAAGGCTTCAATGGTACAACCCTACTGAACGGGCGAATTGGGACTACGACATAACATTTAAAGGGCCACTTATTGGTTAGGAGCTTTTGAATTCAAAAGCTTTTGGTAGTTGTAAACGAGGTTTCTCGTTTTAAAAGGAAGCTCTTCCTTAAGAAACACTCTGGAAGTAAAAAAAGCTTTTTAAAAATTAAAATATATTTTTTCAAAAGTTCTTAAGCATTGACTTCACAAAATATAAAAATTGGATTTCAAAGTACAAGTTACTTTTTTTGAAAACAGCCGTAGCAGAGAATGAGTCATTGTTTGAGCCTCATTATTTGGGAGTTAATTAAATCACTGATCATCAACATTTGCATCTGGTTACTACTTACTCACCCTGAAATAAAAGGTTACCCACTGCTCATCTACTTTTAAAAAAAATTACCCATCCATCACTCTTTCAA